TATTTCACAATACCTTTGCTTAGTTATGTTGATCCTCTGTGTTGGTGGCAAACACAACAATCTGAATTTCCAATTTTAAGTATCATTGCCCATGATTATTTGTCAATTCAAGCAACAAGCATTGCTTCAAAACAGGCATTTTCAATTGCTGAAATGGTAATTTTAGATGAAAGGAACAAATTAGAAAAAGAGACATCAAAAGCAATTCTTTGCTTAAAAACCTGGATCTGTAAAGAAGTATGCTAAATATAATATTTGCAATTAGGAAAATTAGAATATTGCTTGCTTTTTATGCTTTGAATACAATAAACATTTAGAACAATATAATATAGCATTTCAAAAAAAAAAAAAGAGATATATATAATACGAGGCACCCATATTACTTTTTATTGTTCAATAAATTACTAGTTTTTCTATATTGATCTCTATAGAACTAGTATCCTTTCATCATTTGGATCAATATTTAATGCTTTGTCTAAGTCTGTAACGGTTAGAGATGGGTTTCATGCATGCGCATGATTGCGGAAACATGCGCATTAATGCGCATTCATGTGCATTAATACGCATTCATGCGCATAATTCCGTTTCATGCGCATTTTATCCCATCAAGATTTCTCTCCTCGATCGTTTTTTATTTTTTTTGCCTTTTTTTTATCATGCGATATCATGCGCATGAAACATTTCGTGCGCATTAATGCGCATTTATGCGCATGTTATTTTAAAATGCGCATTTTTCCCATCACTAGTAACGGTTACTTGAATAAAGAGCGATCGAAGATGTGATTAAGGTCTGGACAACATTCATATGATTGATCAATCCTTGTAGATCTACCCATGATAATCAGCCAATCAGATTACATAGCTTAATCGAACGAATTCATAATACAAAGCTTTATACTATTTTTTATTAATATCCTTTATTAATTATATTTAATTACATAATCGAGTAGAAATCATATTCTAATTATTATTGCCTTTGTTAGAGACGCTACTACCTTTAAAATATATTATAGGCAATATCATACTTAATAAATTTTTCTAGTTGTTACTCGCATTTGTACCCGTCAAAGAAATTCACTACTTATTGATATAAATTCTTAAATAATCATATTTTTTAGTTATTACAGCCGTTGCACTACTATTTTTGATCTATATTATTAATTAATACTACGTACACGTTTCCATCTATACTATTATAAAACCATATTAAATCTACTAAATACTAAAGTGATATAAATATTAGAACTATTAAAAGTAATTTAAACTTAAATACAATAAGTTAACAGAATGTAAGAGTTTTTTTAAAAATCTAAATTTACCTTAAACGTCTTGATCATTCTTTTTATTTGAATATTTTTTCGCATTTAGTACTTGTATATAGCTAATATAGATAGTAATAGTAATAAATAACGAAATACTTGCTTCTAAATGAAGTTCTTGAGAATGATTATTGTTCTTGCGAAGCTAGAAATG